GTGCGATTGGTTGGATTCACTTGAAGTTACAACGGATTCACTTGAAGTTGAAAAGGTTTAGTGTTTGGTGCAGTTATTTCTGGCCCGTGACCTAATGGTCGCGTTCAAGTTCTATGAATAAACCAAAATAATTAGCGAATACAAAGAAGCAAGAAGAAAGAATTTTCGTTGTCCAACGGCTGATCAAAGAACCGCTATAGTGAAAACACTTGGTTGAAGTTCAGTACGGAAATTGGTTCCGTCTAATCATGAAACAGATCTGAAAGTGGTTTTCTAACATATCAGTCAGCGATATCGATTTGCTTACGAATAATACACTTCTCAATCATGTTCCATGGTCCTCACCGATTACTTTTGTGTCGCGGCATTCATACTACTTACGAGTAGTGTGTATCAAACTGAGTTTTCGTTGAGTTGATGCCTGTCATTCAGGTTCATCAAGGTTTTCTCAAAAATATTCATGAGAAAACTCGGTAAAAAACATTCATTAGCTATTTAACAAGGAATTCATGGCACACAAAATATATAAGTATAAATTAGCGCGGATATGGTTGTTTAATATAATCCAAAGTGTTTCAATTTCAATGGGTTCAGATTTTTCACTTCAGGTGAATTATCTTTGATCATTTTGTGACTGGTTCCTGCAAAAAATATCAACAACCAATGCTATCAGTTAATCAAGAAGCAGCTTGAGCTCTTCGAGCTAACAGGGCTTCAATGTTACGAACTGAACAAACATGACAAAAATTCACTTTATTATACGAATTGTATTCCTCAAGATAATATAAACAAAATATCGTCACACAAATGAACAAATGTTATAAAATCATTTTTCTTCAGACACCGAAGTTAGCGGTGGTGGGTAAGGTGCTGTGGTTTGGGTCTCTGGTTTGGTTCAGACCTCCGAAACAACGTTAGCGAAGGACCTACGGGCTGGATTTTCAGGTCACTGGATCAGAGGCCAACAGTCTAGACCGGTCGAAGGCCTTACAGCTCAAAAAAGCCCCTTTACCTTAAAGAATACGAATGGCGATTAGTTAAGACCTGTTTAGCAAATGATATTTCTCTTTGCTTACTTTTTAAACTTTATTGATTTTTTTCAATAAATGAAAAGCCCATTCTGTTGTGTTCTTCCTGTGTCTCGTTAACGACTCACTTTGGCAGACGACTACTGGTGTGAATGCGTGACTCAATTTGGATGGTAACTACTGATTTGTGATCGATGATTAGTGTCCATTCAGAGAATCACACTAACCTCTGTCCACATATAGTCGTTATTTCAATTATTATCTTCGAACTGAAACGTATTTGCAAATTTGAGTCCAAAATACGTTTCTTGGCTCACCGCTCAGTCCATTTTATAATGGGAAACTCTAGCTGCCAGAACGGGCTGAGATGTCACCAGTAGCGAAACCATTCGATCGACCTTAATTCGTCAATACCAGACTGATAGCCAAGTCGATAGCGAGCGCTGACACGCTTATGTTAATCTGCAGTATAAAAGTTACAAAGGACAAGTGCACGGTGGAACTCATCGGAAGTTGCGCAAAATACGAGGTCGACTAAGAATTCGTGATGGTTGGTAATAAAACAAAATAGGGCCTTCACATAGATGGGGGAATGGAATTCATAAGGCGAAATGGTATTACTTCCAAGCTTCTACTTTTTATGCGCTTCACGCCTACACATAAGTGTACAAGTGGTGCCCTGAGGATATTATCTTCACTTTATCATTTTCTGTCGTGGATGATATAAACGTGGTCTGTCGATTATTGTATTTCGCCAGCTACAATGCCCAAAGTATTTTTCGGATAAATAAAACAGACTGACCCGTTCTTCGTTGGAGGATTAGTCCAAAACAATGGGTTAAAACATTTATGAAAAATCAGGTTACCGAGGTAGTGATTACGTCATTTCGGACGACACCCTGTCACTTTGTAACATGTCCCTCCACCTCCTTCAGTACTTTCATTTCTAATCATGTTTGCATTTGTTCCTTTTCAACATTTATTCTCAAATTTTGACCTAACCCAGCAACCAAACACGGTTATTCAGCTTACTTGTCCGTGACTCCATTTGAAACACCCATTTCAGCTTATATACTTTGTACCGTATTATTCCATAAATCTGAGAACGACACTGTAAAATAATAATAATAATAATAATAATTTTGTCTCCACGCCTTCTTGTGCTGATTAAATGAATATCTTACGGATTGTCTTTAGTCTATCTTATTTGACATACTTGACGTCATAACCCTTGCTTTGTAATGTTTCCAAGCTGAATAGTCATGTATTTGGATGTCGAAAGTGAATCGAACGTTTTCTGCCGATGTTATTCGGGTGCGGGATCGGTTGGTTGTTCAATCGTTCCCCGTAGTTTTCGCTGCTTTCCTTACGGGATTTTCATCCTCATTCATGGTTTCAGCCTTTGCCCGTCGACCGGAGGTTTGCAGTCATTAACTCCTCGTATTTCGACGTCCCCTCAGAGTGCTTAGCCTAAAGTGCTTCTAGGTCGTGATCGTTTGAAGTAGCAGAGAGTTCTATTGACAATCGGCCAGCTTAATTTTGCCCGTGTTCTGGTGATCTGTACATGCATTGAAACAAACAGACGCATTGAATTGTGACCTGAGCTTTCGATTGAGGCTCAGCGTTTTGGGATAGGCAAGTCTTTCTCGCTGTTTCTTGTCTAAATTATCCCCCACCGGTGGTTGCCCGCCAGCATAAAGTATGCTTTCTATTGTACAAAAAAACAATTTATGTGATAATCACTAACTCAACGGACAGCAAGAATAAAAGCCTCTAGAACAAAGGGTGAAAACGGTTATTGAAGACTTAGAAACCATAAGGTTGGTGTCTGAAGGCAACAAAAAACCATGAAATAAGGATGATTAAACTGGGGAAAATCTGTACACTGTATCGTCCAGCGCTTGATCGTTTCATTGCAAACATGAATTATAACAGTCGCGACCTGTGAACCCGTTCGAACCCCAGAAGGACCTATTGCTTTTGAACACTGACCGATGTGTGATTACTTGGAGAACTTATTCAGAAGAAGATCGTTTCTACTCCTCCCCTTTCTCTTAATCAGAGACCATTGTTCTAGGTCTTCGCAAACCATATATATCAATAGGCTAAGAACAAAAACGCTTATGTTAAACTGGATTCCACATTTTTCATTATAAGCTGTAACACAAACGTCAAATGAGGTCTAACTGAAGAGATTATTGATTAGTAAAATTCAAATATTCACGTTCGTTTAGATTATTCAGCGTACCTTCGTGCACGGGCTTCTTAATGGCACGACGCATCAACGTAAATGAGGAACCATATGCAGGTTTTCTACCCGAGAGTGAGTTCACAACCTGTTCACTCGTTTTAATTATGATGTTTGCAATTACTTTCTGAACATCTCGGGAAAGATCTAAGAGCTAATAAAATGCATAGAATATTTGAATTTAGTACATGATTATGTAATCTAAGACAAAGCATTCACAAATCGATACCAACACCACCTTTTAAAGGGCGAACAGTGTACAACGCATGCGTAGCCTTTCAATGACACGTGAAAAATATATCTGCAATGTTTCACCGGCACAATTTCAGAAATTGTCCGAATATACCATCCATACCCATTGTGAGAAAACACAAAGCGGCGAACAGGCTCGTTTTCGGTGATTCTTCTACAGACTAATACATCACAATTTATATCAAACTGTTAGGCAAACTGTTTGGTATGTTCCCAAAAACAATTCGTAAGAACACTCGGTTTTCCATGGCCAATACCACACACGACACAGCCATCCCCCCACCCGCCCCTAATGACCCAAACAAGTGCGCATGTGTGAGGACCAAAGTGTGAGTGACATCCGATCATGGAACTGGAATTTTAATTATCTCTTTCCAACTTGTCTTAATTTCAGAAATGTTGGCGTTCTTTTCCAAGATCCATTGCTTCCGGAGTTTTTGTTTTAACCTGGTCTTAGACTCAAACAACGACAGTGTTCAGGAGCCGTCTCGCTCCAAAATGCGCCACACAGTGTTCGAAACTGTGGTTGCCTTTATTTTGAGCTCATCGACAAAGCTGCATTGTTTTGGCCTAGTCATCATAGGAAGGGAGTGGTAACAAGATGCAGAATGCGGGTAAATTGGATGTGAGTGGATGCACAAGCAACTCTCAGCCAAATCACCTATTGCCTGGTGCCGGATCTCTGTAAATTAATTAATCATGTCTTGTGGTGATCTTACAGCAAAGTTGAATAGCACTAAGCACGCAGTGCGATGCAGTTTTCAGATAAAAAAGAACAGGACACAGGACTATGAAACTATATGGTGATCCCGGACACGTAATCTGATTAACCGAACGTTTGAACTCCTGGATTACGAAAACGCCAATCATGCCTGTGGCGATCGGACCGTCTAGAATAATCCAAAGAATAATCGAAACCTGTCATAATAATGTATATAAATTTCCTGGGAGAATTTACAGGTCTTATTGGTTCTATTAAACTTCACGTTATTCTGTGGATCTTCAGTCCTAATCTGAGATAGTGGTTGTATTTTACAATTATTTGCCTTCTCTGAACTGCTATTTCACTTGGAAAACATCGCAAACTGTGGAAGCCCATGCGATGAGAGGCGTAACACGAATCTACTGTCAAACTCAACTCAATGGGGATATTCAATGTGTTAGATACCAGAAAATGCCATGTTCCCAGGTGATCATAGGCACAACTGAAACACATTGAGTCCTCATTTACATTCTTTATTTCGTTTGTTCCAGCTCAGATACCACAATGTAATCCGACAAACACATTTCACACTACCGACGCGCGATGCAAACGATACTGTTGTGCAGTTTGTGGTGAATGTCATCCGGTCACTGCCAGTCAAACTCAGCGTCTGACCGAGTGGCTCACTGGAGTATCGTTACCGGACGCTTTGCATCGCTCGACCGAAGCGAAACTCATCGATGACTACACTCAAACGCGATTTAGACAGGCCCGTGAAATTGATAACAATCCGTGCACGATCGCACAGAGGGCCATCGATAAGATAAACAAAAGTGCCAATGCCTTTCATCCCTGTTAGTTTCTGGTGTACATCGGGAATACTTCAGTTTGTAACTTTTTATTTGACGTTACTGTCGATTGAAAAGTTATTTCTGAGGCTTCCTTTTTATACTTCTTCGATGTGCTTCAGCACTTTTGCGTTAAATTTATCATTATTTTAAATTTTAACATGACCTTCTTAACAATATACACCTGGCAATTAAGACACTTAACTAACTAGTATTACTGAAAATGCTCCCGCAAGCAAGAGTTTAAATCACTGTAAGTCAGTTTGACGGATTCACTTTGTTCTGCGTATCGGTCATTTGAACACGTGAGTTTTACCTACAATGTGAATATTTTACTCCAAGTGGTGTACAACGTGTGTTCCACATTTATGGCACTTATGTAAAATGTTATCAATACCGGGTTAGAAACGTAAATGCGAGTGGCAGAAAGATTGGACAAGAAATAATGTGACGGACCAAACGCGTGTTGTGATGATCGGTGAGCATAATCTTAACTCGAACCGACTACAACACGGGCAGTGGGATTGTGTCTGGGTTAGTGCCCAATGATAAATAAAACGTGAACGTTAAAGTAGCTGAACTGTATTCGGTAGTGTTAAAGAAATGCGTAAACCGATGTGAATCCGGATAAAATTATTTTGTACCTTTAAATCACAGATTTTCACAGTATCTCCACTAATGGATAGCATTGGTTTCCGCAGTCCCCGACAAAGAAGCTTGGATACGACATTGCAACTTCTTAGCTTTCGCTAGAGGAACGTTAATCGGACATGTAAAATAATACCCGGATGCAGCTAACTAGGGTTTTATTCAAATGAAGAAAGGTAATGTGACGTTGAGCGGCCAGTCTGCTTCGAAATCTTGAGACAAATTTCGGGCTTGGCAGTTTGTGAATTTCACGTACCTGAGTCCAGAATGCCAGTTTACGACAGGTTACAAACAAAATTCCAATAGGAAACACTGGTAGGTTGATTTTAAAAGTGGGTTGGTTTGTAGAGTTGTAACCACTTGATCGAGTAATATAGAAGGAGCAAATCGAAGTGAGGATGTCAAAATAGTGATCGAAAACTGGCAAACCAAATCTGAGCAAAAAGAAGGGCACACTGCTGTTAACGTTTACTACGCTCAATTTCTTAAACCGCCGATTAGGATGGTCACAATGTTCCCAGTTAGGAAGTCTTACGCGAACTACGACTGACAGCTCTGATTGGGGTTTCATATACTCATACCACGTTTTGCTTTAACATTCTTCGAACTACCATCCTCGCTCTAACTGGGGAAGTAATAGGGCAGGTGGATAAATTTTGTTATTTGGGCAGCTGGTGGACGCATCATGGATGACGTCTCAGATCGCATACAGAAGGCTCGGTTGACATTTGCGAACCTGAGACATCTGTGGCGCCGTTGTGACATCCGGTTGTCTGTGACGGGTCGGGTGTATGCTGCGGCAGTTCGAACAGGTCTGCTATACGGTGCAGAAAATTGGCCATTAGGAAAAAGGATAAAGATAAACTGCCGGTGTTTGAACATCGCTCTCTATGCAGCATTGCACGACTCTGGTGGGGCAATGCTGAGGTTAGGGGCAGAGTCTTAGGCAACCGCGAACGCCCACTGGAGCAAGTGGTCGATCTCCATAGATTACGTTGGTTGGGCAATGTGTTACGCATATCACCAGACATGTTGGTTGAAAACCTTAACCAGGAGTCTGGGTCACATAGGTCCCGTTAGGCTTCGTGGATGGGGACCTCGGGATGATCGTACCCGCTGGTTGGAGACACTGAGTGATAAGGCTGAAGGTCATAAACAGTGGCGTTCATGCATATTTTCAATCTCTCTGCAACATCAATTTACTGAAATTCTAAATTTTCTCTTTGATCCTACTTTCAACCTTTCCTGTCTTTCTCCTAATGTTCATCCAAATGGACAGCTAAAACACAGCAACCAAAACCGGTGCCTGGTTATTGGTTATACAAACTGAACTGAACCAGGTGCAATCCACTGAGGAATCCTATCTGATGACATGCAATCATGATATATTTTGCGAGAGGGAATCGCTTCATGTACTGTCATCATCCCAAAGCATACAGAATATTTCTATCATTCGACAAAATTAAGCACAGTTATGGATTTAAAAGCTCAAAAAGAACTAAGAACCATTCTTCCTATACACATTGTTTCTGGTATATAGCAGACGGGGTAAAACCCCGTCATGAAAATCAAAATATTCAGCTCTGACATACTGGAGAATCACAAAGACCGTTGAGAGAGAAAGTTGCAGGTTTCAATGCTCTAGAGCTCTAGAGCTAAAAATACTCCAGGGATAAAGACTCAATCTGCTGAACCACAGCCACTCATTAGCAAACAAAATAGGACTGTGGTGAACGGCCTAAAGGGGAGCTGGCTGAGTTTACATAGAGCTTTTAGATTACCTCTGTTCAAAAAGCCATTTGCAAATTTCCATCATGTACTACATCCACATGTAAAGTAGCACTGAACCTAAATTATGTTTTCTACACTGAGTGAAACGTTCTGCAATCGATAAAATATTCATCCCTGTATTTTTCATGGGAAATAATGGCTTTCCATGTAGCCAAAAAAGATATACGCTGTCGGGGGCAAATTCTGTACGCCATCGTCCTTGAGTGAAAACAAATGTTGATGCTAATATAGGTCTTTCTAATAATTATATAAAAACTCCTGTGGATAAAGTTTCTTGTCTTTTTGGTACGTAAGACGACGAAATGAGTTCGCATTTCAAGGATCCAATTGTCTTTAGCCTTAGTACCAGGTATAGCGCGAATCGGTCACTGTTATTGGATGAACCGTTCTCCGTTAGACAAT